TTTAGTTACGCTTCCTCAAAGCGCAAAGCTACGGCAGCCCCGCTGCATGCAGTTTGTGCGGTATTAGGCTACAAAATGGAGCAGCTGGACGTCGACACCGCCTTTCTCAACAAGTGGGCTGCCAGATCGTGTCTACATGGAGGTTCCGATTGTGTTAAGGGAGAGCAGGCGCACAATCTGTTTTTGAAAAGTATGCTTAAAAAGTGGTATTTCAAAAAGCAAAGCAAGGTGGCACACATTAGCTGAACAGCCCAAGATTTGTCAAAATGATAGCGTACGCGAAAGTTTCGAGCGACAACCACAGTGTATTCCTGCTGAATCATCTACAAGAGCAAATAGACGATATAATCAAAATGCCCATCCACTTAAAATCGTTATCGAAACCCAATAATGATCTAGATGGTGTGTTATGCGCTCTTTTCCAATCATGGATTGGAAAGCCGTTTAATGCCGTTGTGAATTCAAGAGAATTTGCGAGCCTTAAAAAAGCGTTTGACTTATCGATGAGCGGAATGTTGTGGTCTCATTGGCAACTGGACGACGAAGAAAATCCTGTTTGATCGTACTCGAAGTATTATTTAGAATATAAACTCATGTGGTATAGATTTTTGAGCAAATTACGGCTCGACACCAACTTCGGTGACCATCTGAATAAAGTGTTTATGTTTCTTGATACAACATGGCAACACGAAATTTCAAACACTGCAATTTGACAGTTACTCAGTTGAATTCCCATCCGTGACCCGGACGTAATCCGACGCAAGATAAATTTGCTACGGAAACGAATGAGCAGGCATCACTACGGTGTGGCGCTAGAGGAGGAACGACCGCAAGTTTAGCGACATGTCAAAAAGAATACAGGTGGCAGTGACAGCGAAAGCGAAGATGATGCGCAGTGACTATATACCGGCAGAAAATGATGAGTTATTCGAAGGAGATGATTCTGATTTGGATAATTTACTTAGTGATGATTGTCTCGATAGCGACAAGGGTCAATGACCACTAAAGCGAAAGAGAAAGCGATTGCAACTGATGCATACGACGACAACAAATAAAAAAGCACGCTCGCGAAATGTTGCTGTTGCACGAAATATTTATGTCGATGATACTTTCCCACTATCAGCCAAAACACTATACGCTGGCAAGAGCGTATATTGCCATACAGCAGCAACCATTCAGATGTCATCATAATAAGCGGACAACATCAGTATAGACAAGTAAGATTCCAGCAAAATCTCCCGTTGAGACTCAGCCATTAATTGTAGCCGGTGAAGGTGATGACTCGGAAGCTTTAACCATCATTCTGGACGGTGACGAAGGTTTAACGGACGGCCAAGGACTTGACCACAATAATGACAGTGAGTCAGGACTCGAATATATTAGTAATCAGAACAATGCAACGCGTGGTAAGAATTACGTCACATAACGCAAGAAAGATGAAAGAGCCGACGAGTGAAGTCATCACTTACAAAAGAATGCGACGGTGACGCGAAAGTATAAAGTCTTGATTGAAAACAGACGTGGTGTAATCGCAGATACTTCGATAGCCGGAGTTCGACAACCTTTTGATTATCAACCGCTAAAACTGAAACAGAAGTCAAGAGCTACGGCAACAACTGTC